CAGAGAAGGGCTTGGCTAAATCCTCCCCAGGCCTAAGCTGTGCATCAACCCTCTCATTGAATCACAAAATATTTTGACCAATCCCAGGCTAGCAAAGTCTCCTCCAATCCTTTCCTTTGAGAGGACTAGAGAGGTAATAACGTTCACCTAACAGCAACCATAAGCTTTGCCTAGAATCAGACTTCAATCTCCTTACTCTTTGTCCAGATGCTAGGGAGGAACCCAGATGCATTCTATGCATGATGCTAATGGAGGAGATATTACGATGAGTCCTAATCCCCAAATGTCTTTGGAACCAAGTAGATCAGAGATGTTAGGGAAAATCATGCTAAGTACTTATTTATGCCCCTATATCAAGTTTTCAAGGCTGGGAATCTTTATGGTAGCAGTCTCATCTTTCTTAACAGGTACTCAAAATGTTGTGTATTTCCGTGACTTTCTGAACGTAGAGTGAGTTCTGCTCAAGGGTTATGAGGATGGCCTAAGGCAAAATGGCAGAATAGTGGTTGATGCTAACAGGTACACAGGAGGTTGAAGAAGGCTGAAGAAGGGCATTGAGCAATGGGTTTATCTTATCTCTTCCCATTCTAAACCCTAACCATAATGGGTCAATGAATCATTCATACAAACAACTCCAAAGAGCTTCTGGAAGCAAGAGAATGGCCTTCTACAGTTCTGCACATATTATAGTGCATGAGTAGAATGGTGATTATAATACGTGCATGACTATAGAATGGCAATGATAATATGTGTCTGAGTGTAGAGTGACAATTAAGAGGCTTTCCTAAGAGTTGTTGTAAAGATAGCAGACCTGGAGCAACCAGGAGTTAGCGGGGCTACATAAATGCTTCAGAGACACAATAAGAAACAAGTAGAGACACTTAGAGGGAGAGAGGACCTCAGCGCCTTGCTCTGATTCTGCTTAAGAATCTATTGTCTTCAGCGGCTTCAGGTATTATATCTTTTGGTAGCCAAGCACCATCTGCTTTCTTCACCACATTTTCTTGTGCACCCATTGTCTTCAGCGATCGTGCCAGACAGGTGAGCATCTCAGACTGCCGAATTGTTAGAACAAAGTGTTCTTGTGTTGAGGGAGTACTTGTGCAGGGGCCCACTGTCCATCTGTTTTCTTAATACTCAACCTATAAATATATGTACACAGATGTATTTCCCCCTCGTCATATATAAATATATTTACATCTTTATATGCCTGTATTTACATCTCTATGACTACCCTTTGCCTCCTAGTTCTTTCCTCTATTTCTTTGTACTTTCCTCTTGTCCCACTATCATGCTCTGCCTTCATTTGGGTTTTAGGCACTCCTCTCAGTTACATCGCCCTTGATCCAGCCCTGCAAGGCCCCCCGCACCCTCCTTGATATTGATTTTGGATCATTTGTTGTTCCCTTCTCCCTGTGCTTGTTAACACCCTCTTCCTTTCCCCCACCTCTCCTACCCCCATGTTCCCGAATCTGTCATCAGGTTGTTCTCTCTTCTGGCTTGTTTATTCCACCTATCCCTTCCAGGTAGACATGCTAAGTGCCATCACCAGACTGAGTGCAACGAAGCGACAACAGAGAGTAAAACAATGGCTACAACTACAACACACACACCTGCATACATATATAACCATATGAATAGTTCAGGGTCTGTTTGTTTTCCTTCATGTGTGCTTTTCAGTCAAGTCTGATGGGGTGCCATGCCCCAGCACCGCCTCTATCCCTTGGGACCTCACCGCTCTTCTCCCCCTGCTGCTCTGATGCATGACCCTAGAGGCTGGCGTTCGGCGTGGTGAGTTCATGGCAGGCACAATTCCCACCTTGTGTCTTCAATGCTGTCCCCAGTGGTGTGATGGGTCAACAAGGAATTCTGTGTCCTGTAGTGGGGCCTGAAGTCGCTGAAGACAATGGGTACACAAGCAAATGTGGTGAAGAATGCTGATGGTGCCCAGCTACCAAAAGATATAGCACCTGAAGCCGTAAAGACATGAAAATAAACAAGCAGCCATCTAGCTGAGAGACAACAAAACCCACATGGAAGAAGCACACCAGCCTGCCCCGACTCGATCGCTGAGGACAAAGGGGGTGCATAAGCAAAAGTGGTGAAGAAAGCTGATGGTGCCCAGCTATCAAGTGATATAGCATCTGGGGTCTTAAAGGCTTGAAGACAAACAGGCAGCCATCTAGCTAAGAAACAACAAAACTCACAAGGAAGAAGCACACCAGCCTACCCCGACACGAATGCTGAAGGCAAAGCGGGTATATAAGCAAATGCGATGAAGAAAGCTGATGGTACTAAGCTGTCAAATTATATAGAATCTGGGGTCCCACATTCCGGAAGATAAACAAGGGGCCATCTAACTGAAAAATAACAAAGCCTACATGGAAGAAGTACACCAGCCTGTAAGATGACAAGGCGTCGAAGGGATCAGGTATCAGGCATCGAAGAACAACAACCAAAAAAAATCATAACATTGTGAATGAGGGAGAGTGCAGAGTGGGGGCCCAGGACCCATCCGGGGGAAATTGGACATCCCCTTGCAGAAGGGCGACGGGGAGGGGATGAGCCAATCAGAGTGCAGTGTAGCAACGATTAAATATACAATTTTCCTCTAGTTCTTAAATGCTTCCTCCACCCACTACCATGATACCAATTCTACCTTACATATCTGGCTGGACCGGAGGATGTACACTAGCACAGATAGGAACTGGAAATATAGTGAATCCAGGACAGATGAACCCCTCAGGACCAGTTGAGAGAGTGGCGATATCGGGAGGATGGAGGGAAGGTGAGGGAGAAAGGGGGAACAGATGACAAGGTCTACATATAACCTCTTCCCTGGGGGACGGACAGTGGAGAAGTGG